TCTTCCCTGCACTGTGAGCACAGAGCCTGAAACAAAGTAGGTGCCAGTAAATGTTTGATAAATGCATGAATGAATGGATCTGAAACTTCATTTGGTTGTGCAGTATATTTTTCAGACACTATGAAATAATCTGTATAGTTAGCCTATGGGAGTCTCACTGGGAAAGTCATCATTCTATATTTATAAGATGTTGGGAGTCTCCAAGAATATATACACCCTAACATTTACCAATCAAGAACTTTTGAGAAAGTAGACAACCCAGGGAAAAAGTCACAGTTTTTCAAGAAAGAAATGGATAAACATGAAACAGCTCAAGTTTTTATATGACCATTTAGGGTGTTAAATCAAAACTTCTCAGAAAAAAATTCCACCCAAACCGTGGATGTTGTCTAAATAGTTCATTCGGAAAGCCTAAAGCTGTTCAAAACAACAAATAAAAAAATAGATTTAAGACATTTGGCAAAATGTTAATATGTTAAATATGGATGACGGATAGAAGGAGTTCGTGGTACTATTCTCTCTAGTTTTTTTCAGTATGTTTGAACATTTATGTAACACAAATAACATTTAAAAACTGAAGCTTGGAATTGGCACTCTCTTTACGCTGCTTTAGAAAGGAGGCACCAGAAGAAGCAAAAATGGAAGAGAAGCTATGTAGACTTTGGCATCTTATAATTAAGCCATAAATACTACTACTAATGTAGTAGTATTTTTATAGCCATAAAGCTATTCTTATCTGATGAGGAGTCAAAATTTTGGAAGCAGGAATTTTTGCTTAAAATTAAATAGATTCAGAATCGTAGAAATAGAAGGATGTTCAGAGATTATTTCAGCCAATTCTCTCACCTTACAAAGGAGAAAACTGATGCCCCCAAATTTGGGATGAAGTAACTATCAATCTCAGAGCCAGGACAAAAGCTAGGTCTGTACTTCTGTACTCTGGTTTCTCTTTCCACCTAGGTGGCATATGACATTGAACTAAAACTGTTAACGCGAGGAAACTCAGGTGTTCTATTTTCATTTGCTGCATCCTTTGACTCTATCATTTCTGGTGTGTACATGTGGAGGACCTCCTTCTTTTGTGCAGTGGATATTCCAAGATTTTCCAAGACACAGTGGTAGACTCACTAGAACTATACTTAATAAAATGAAGCCCAGAAAGGCAGTCATCAACCCTTCCATACATCAGTTGTCTGAAGCTTGTGCTCCACTTAGAGAAAGCTATGGGTGATGTCAAGTATAGCATCATCTTACCGGGTCCAGAGAGAGGGAGACCTAGCACACCTTGGCCCACTGCATCATGCAGTGGACTTTTTACACATCTGCCTCTTGCCTCATTAATTCCCCAGCCAAGTAGAATTCAAGGGGATTCTAGGGAGAATATATACTGGGGTATTGATTCTAGACAGTTATAGGCACAGAGGTGGAGTTTGGGAGGTACCGACTGAAACAAGGTTAGGTCTGACAAGACATGTAGTGGTTTGATTTATCTATGATCTTCCCTTTTGATGGCCAGGAAGGACTAAGATTCACAGGATGAACTTCCTATTTTGGATCAGCACAAACACAGGTATCTCTTGTCCTTGTATCTGAAGGTTTAACATTCTCTAGGGCCCTAGAGAATAATACAGATTTCTGGTTTAGAAGCAAGGGGCACAGAATCAAACTGCTTCCATTCACTGTTTTGATCAAATGCCTTATGGTAGTTGGGGCATGGGGATAGGGTTCTGGCCTCCACATATCATCCAAATTCCTTCAGCCTTTCCTAAGTAAATCTATGAATTAAAAGCAATGTAATTAATATGTAGCTACAGCTTCAAGTCAACTCCCCAGACTCCATCCCAATCAGCAGGCTGTCCCTAAGCCCTTCTTTCATAGAGCTGCCAATGACTAGAGCAGCCTTTAACCCAGAACATGGAATTGGTGGCTTACAGGCTGACTGTTGCCTGCTTGCAAAATGGTTCTTTTTTTTTTTTTTAATGTTGCCAATATTTGCAATTGGAGAGGATTCACTTTTATAAAAATCTGGATTTTAGCTTCTTTTGAAAAATTGGACAACCTCACCATGGCAGAGTGGCGGGAGGTGGGGGACACATATCTGCATGGCAAAAATCTTTTCAGTTTGGAACTGAGAAGAGGCTCACTCTTCAGACAAGACATGAGCTTTTCCAGTTCATCATCCTCTCGGTGATGTTCATGAACTCTCTGGGCCGCGCTTTACTCTAAAACTCATTCGATTATGTTGCTTAGAACGCGCTTTGGGAGGTAGGGGTCGGGGCGTTTTTGGTTAAACAGGCTGCCGGGTAGATCTCAGTCAACACTGACAGTCGTCCTGTGTAGGCTGCTTCACTCTTTACCCGCACCACTGCGTGCTGCTGGCTTCAAATGTTTGCGCTTTGCACGGAAAGTACATCACTGAGAGATGTCAGCATCTCTCAAGGTGGGAAGGGTTTTGTCAGCATGTACGTCTTTTTCAGTCTTCAACATTTGGGCTACTACACCTCTTGGGTGGTCATCTTCGGTATGGTTCCCTTTGGGGGAGCGTGGACAGTATCCAGGAGGGTTCAGAAGAGCATACATGCGTTCCGATATTATGAATGATGGAAATCGCTTCCCAAAACGCTTCTTACTAACAGTTTAGTCTCCTAAGCAACTAAACTTGTGCAGCGAGTTTAGAAATTTCGAAATGAGGTGCTCAGGCCACCTCAGTTGGAGACAGAGGGAGGCAGCGAAGGGCACAGAAGGACCCACTGCAGGCCTGGTCCACGCAGGCACTGCCGCAAAGCGTCGGGAAGAGCCGGGGCGGGAGAGCTTTTTGCCTACCCGGGCCGACCCGAGCTCCCGGACGGTGGCCGAGAGCGCTACACTGCGCCTGCGCGCAAAGCCTCCGGCGGGCAAAGAACGTAATCTGTTATCTATACCTGGGTCGGACGGCGGCTGCCTTCGTCTGCGCAGGCGCACGCCGCCTCCAGCCATTGGCCGGTGCGCAGGCACCCATCCCAATCACCCTTCACATCCTGTAAACAGAGGGGGCCGGCTGGAGACGACAACTTCTGCTTCCGGGTCACGCCTTGACAGCGGCTTTCACCACCCAGCTCAGCCCCGCGGTTTGGTGAGTGCGTACCTCGCTGCGGGAATGCCTGCAGCCAGGTTCCTTAACCCGTGGCACTACGCGCGGTAGCTCTTTCTCCATTCCCAGCTCGGGTTTCGTTAGCCCTGGAGACAGAGACATGGTTCCTGGCCTTAGGGGAATCAGGGCGGGGGTTGGTTAGCCTCCGGAGCTCCACAGGCGTAGATTCCTCGATCTTCTTTCACCCATCGTCCCCCCCCCCCCGCCCCAGCTGCGGGGAGACCTGCCGGCATTGCTGCGATCTTTGCGGATCCCATGAGGAAAATGACACCACACGTCCTCTCATTTCGTGCCCTTGCCCTTCGGCTCTGCCTCGGCAAGACGCAGCTGCCGCGAGCCGCCCCCCCACCCCCTCCACTTCACCCCAGCATGTGTGGTGGGGTTGGGGGCGCCTCTGGCTGGGCTGTGGGTCTCCCGGCCTGGGCGGAAGCCGAGGCCTCCCTAGCACCAAAGGTGTTGAATGTCGCCTCTCTCCCCCTTTGCTTCTACCATCGCAATAGAAAACCCCTTGGTGTTTTCTCTGGATCCGCAGTGAAAGAAAACCGGGGGAGAGAGGCTTTTCAGTTCCAGCAGAGGAAAGGGGCTGCTGTCTGGAATTAGGTCAAGCTTACATTTCCTTGACCCTTCCCCACAGTGCATGTTGTTAATGTGCCCCGAAGTTTCACTCTTCATCAGGAGCTTCCATGCAACAGCAGAAAACTACTGGTCATGTCCTGAGTTAGGAGTTCTTAGCCTGGAGTCCCAGGAGTGCCCCGAAAATGATTGCAGGGTTTACTTTCTTCAGATTATCATGGCCCAGAAACGGATAACAGAACCAGTTCAGTCTAAGCTTTTCACTTTAGATGTTCTGTGTTCTGCCCCCCATTCTTGGAATCTCTGGTTCAAATGCACCTCTGGTTTTTTCTCCCTTTCCCTTGCAACAAAAAAGTATAAGATACAGACCATTGTCTCTGCATGTAGTGGCTGTTAGGTTAAAACATATGCCAACTCTATTCTATCTAGAAAGTTTCGGAGAGACATATAAACAAGTGTGTAAGCTTATTCATTCAAAGTAATGTAGGAATAATGTAGGAGAGAAGAATGCCCAATATGAATCATTGATACCTATGAATTGAACATTGTTAACCTGCATTCTATTAATTAATACTGTATATAGTTTAAACAGATAAATGGCTACTGATTAGCAAAATAGAAACTATTCAAATTTATAATATATTACATACTGCATAAGGGGATACTCCATTATGAAAAGCAAAAATTATGTAGTGTGAAATGACGAAAATAATTTTAGGTTTTTTACCTTAGTAGTGATCATTTGCATAACATTTAATTATGCAAGGTGTGAATTTTTTAGGATTTAAAGTAATAATCTTTACATTAATTCAACAAATATTTATTGAGAACCTGCCATGTGCCAGGAACTTTTAAAAATAACACTGTCTTTACCCTCAAAGAACTTAGAGTTTAATAAGAACACATATTTCTAGAGAGCTGATACTGCATACTACATATTCTCTACAGTTTTTTGATATATACTTTTTCATAGAAATGCTCCACCTTGTTTGCTATAATTTTAAATGTTCCCCAACTAGTATATGGGTCTTATACAGCCAGAACTCTTATTAGTTAAATTTAAGTATATTGCATTTTTTTCTTCCATGCTAGAACTCTTTGTCATATTGTGGTTTGAACATATATTATCCCAAATCTATTTCTTAGTTGTCATAAACGGCCAATTATTAAAATTTTTAATTCGTTTTGCCTCGTAAGTCTGCTTGTTTTCCTACAACCACCAGCATATGTCATTGGTATGAACTTCACAGTTTTTTTCTGATTTTTTATACATGACTAATTGTCCTTTTGAGATTTTTATTTTAGAATGTCACCCAAATATTTCCCATGTTTTCTTTGGTGAAGACATTTTAACCTGTTTCACAGATGTCTCGTCATTGTTAACATAGATGTATTTCTTCCATAGCCTTTTCCTTCTCTTCACACAGGTATTGATCACTTCTATAGCCTTTAGTCAACCAGTATTTATTAAATACCTACTTTTTGTGAGATTCTGTGGCTGGTCTTACATGAACAAAAAATAGAAGACAGGGACCTTGCCTTCTAATTGATTACAATTTAGAGGAGAAACAATATGAACGTAACTATACTTGCGGGACCAAATATAACAAGTAAGCTAAAGGTGATGGTGATAGTAAAGACCACAGAATCCAGAGGAGGGAAAGTTAGTTTTGGGCATCTTCAGCCTTTAAAAAAAATCCCCTTGCTTGCCTAGTCTTGTGTGTAAACTCCACAGAGCTCCATGAGGGTCTTGGGGCCGCATGGGGAAATCTTGTTCCAGACTAGTTCAGAGAGTAGAATTGTAGTACTGAAGGTCAGAGAATTTTCATCCAGGTTTACCCAGCTCCCTAAGCAACTATTACATTCTATTTCTTTATGATTCCAAAAAATTATTACTTAGTCATTGATCGCTTTGAAATCTACTTGTACTGTTGGGAAGGCCTCAGAGAATTCCTAATCCTAGGGACAGGTATGCTCAGTGATGTTGTGTATGCCTAAAACTTCTTTGTTTCAGGCAGTTTGGAGCATGTGAACATACTCTGAGCCTTGATGAGTTCCAGTATGTGGTATATTATGCAGAGCATTCAGAGCAAATACTCTCTCTCAGAGCGCTTAATCCGAACAATCGCGGCCATTCGTTCCTTCCCACATGATAATGTAGAGGACCTCATCAGAGGGGTGAGTGTGCTGGACTGACGGAGAGGCCTATGGGAGGTGAAGGGGGAAAGTTCCTGGGGAATCGTAATAGATTACAGATTGGAAGCATTGACTCAGCACAATATCACAAGGAGGTTTTTTTTTTTTTTTTTAAGATTTTATTTATTTATTTGTCAGAGAGAGGGAGAAGGAGAACACAAGCAGGCAGAGCGGCAGGCAGAGGCAGAGAGAGAAGCAGGCTCCCCGCTGAGCAAGGAGCTGGATGTGGGACTGGATCCCAGGACCCTGGGATCATGACCTGAGCTGAAGGCAGCGGCTTAACCAACTGAGCCACCCAGGCATCCCAAGGAGTTTTTATAGTCCTCTTAGATGTGTTAACTTGACCATGAAAATACATTTTCCTTGTGTTTTGCTTCTCTTTTCTTCTCCCTCTCACTTTGTGCATCTGACATTTTCTTCAGGAAGTATGTTCTAGGTAACCCTAGTCTCACATTCTTTGTGAAATCTCTGGATATGGTACATGTGGGATCCAGTAAGCTCAAAGTCTTCTATACATGGTTTACTAAGGGAGGAAGGAGAGGAGCAAAGCAGAAGCGGTTTTCAAATCCCTGTGGTTTATAATAATTACACAGAGAGATATCACTTGCCATCTATCTTGACAACAGCTACCACTTGTAGTTCTGTAAGGAATGTCAATCCCTAAAGTGCATGGTAATTTTTGACTTAAGAAAACATCTTAACATGTCTAACCACTGCTATCCAGCAATTGTTATATGACTAGTGTTCTAGATGGTCTTTGGTCTTTGATATCTTTTTCTGAATATTATTCCTGTTGAAGAGAAGTTACAGGGTCATTTTTTGTTCACTAGTAAATGCATCCAGATTCTTACTTTTGTAAGTTCTTTTCAACAACCGTGGAATCCTTATTTACTGCCTGGAGCTCTCTAGCTGCTTCGAAGTTGGGTGGTGCAGCTTTGAGAAGAAAGTCATACAAACTTATTCTCAGCAGAAGCGGTACCAGAGGATTCAGCAGTGGGAAGTTTGTCACATTCTAATTCTAGCTCTGCTGCTGAGTCATTCAGCGACTTTGGTCTGTCTTTAGGATCCCCATCCCCTTTCATCAGATGTGAAACAGAAGTACCAGCAGGGACTAGGCAGCAGAGAATGCCGATGCTAAGAGACTACTTTGAAGATGTTTATAAACAGAAAGAGAACATAAACATGACCTTATTGTTAATGATGGTCATCTGTTGAATGGCAGAAAGAGCATGCCGTTCTCTTGGTTTCAGTCTGACAGACTCAGTTTCCTGACTTTTTCAGAGCGTGATGGCCGTAGAAAGTGGATTGCTTTTCCAGCTCTCTTGTTTGATTGATCCCCAGTTTTCCACCGCTTTTGCACATGAGGTTATGTCCTCAATGAGGTCTAGATGACCGTCTGGCAAGTTACCTTGTGAAAAACCATAATAATTTGATCTAAGGAATCAATAGTTCCTTTCCTTCATCTTCAGTGTATTCTCTTGGTGTGGATATTATTTAATAAATAGGACTGGAAACTGGGACCAATGATGTTTATAATGCGGTCAGAGCTAGATGCCTGTTCTGCCCTGGACTCAGTTCTGAGTCTCATCCTGCTCAGTGAGCCAGAGCTGAGCACACTGACCGGAGTTTCCTTCTGCCCATAGGGAGCAGATGTGAACTGTACCCATGGCACACTGAAACCCCTGCACTGTGCCTGCATGGTGTCAGACGCTGACTGTGTGGAGTTACTCCTGGAAAAAGGAGCGGAGGTAAAGTTTTTAACACTGTCACATTAATGATCCACTAAAGCTTGAGCTTCTCATTTCCTTAACATTTCTGTCTCTTCTCCCATCTCTTCCCACCTTCTAGCCCATGGTAACATCAGCATAGCAAATAGTAAAGCAAAATGTAATGGTAACTATATACAATGATCCAAAGGATTTCATTCCTTTGCCTTTCTTTCTTGTCTGTGGCTCCAGGAAGAGGGAGTTTTATTTCCCCTTTGTCCCAGCCTTCCTTCTGGGGTCATTTACCTTTCCATTCAGTCCTCTCCTTGCCTGTGGACTGTCCAGGAGCTCTAAGTACAGAGGACCCTCCAGCGATGACTGGAAACCATTGACACCCACTGCCAGACACGTACTTCCTATATCACCATTACTGGGAGATAGATCTCATTAGGTAGTCCATTGCTTAGGACTGGGTCACTGGTGCTATTTCTGCCCACTCATTATTTTACATTTGTTATGTCTTGTTCATATCTTCTTTTTAATGTGTCTTGCGGTAAGAAACATAGATTAATTTATATTGACATTAGCAGGAAGTGGCATAGTGTAGTGAATGGTTAAAAGAATGGACTTTGGAGCCAGACTTCATGGATTTGAATCCCAACTCTGTTACTTCCAGCTCTGTGACTTTGAACAAGTTACTTAATTTTTCTTTGCCTTGGTTTCCCTATCTATAAAATGGAGGTGATAGTGGTGTCTTCTTCATAAGGTTGTTGAGTGTTTAGTACGCTGTCATGTAGAAATTGCTAAGTAAGTGCTTGTTAAATAAATAAATAAGCAGTTTTGACTGTTTGTAAGCAGTTAGGAAGTCGCATAGGCTCAGGCGCTGTTTGGAATCAGACGTCCCAGGAAGCTTATGCAGGCCCCAAACACATTGGTCAGTAAGCCTAAGGGACCAGCCCGGAGCACCATCATCTTCATACAGCCATGCTGTTCTCTACTTATCATTATCTAGTCACTCTTGTGAGTTACCCTGAAATGAAGGCCAGTGATCAATGTCAATGGTGAAAATACCCTGGGGGGAAAAGTTTTTAGCTAAATAGAAAGTTAAACTCAGTTAAATATTCCAGCATATTTTTATTGTATTTTGAGGGGAAGATAATATTGAAGTCTTTGTAGCCTTCAGAAATTATTGGTAATATTGATTTTTAGCAAGTCAGCTGCTATTCCAGTATTGAAAGTTCTGTGCTCTTCCTTTTACATGCTTTTATCCAGGTTCTCTTGTGACTGCACAGTGTATATTTGCAAGGGGGCTGATTGGATTCACAATTTGAGCTTCTCTGTATGGCTAAAGAACACAGCAAAACTACATGGGCAGAGTTTGGCCTCATATCTCAGTCTAGTTGCCATTAGCCACAGAATAGAGTGAGCTGGGATAAGCTCTGGCTTATATATTCAAGCTCCTTTCCAATAAATATCTTCCAGAGTAGTTACAAGGATTTAGACTTCATCATCTCTTTTTTTACCCCTCCCCCCTTGGTAGAGATCCTAGTGAATAATAAACAAGAACATAGCAAAAACCTAAATGAAGCAGGCCAGCTAATCAGTGCACGGAATAGAGTGCTGGTTGTTCTGAGACCGTTCTCTTCCTATTTGCTCCTAAGATCCTGTCATATCTCCTCTTGATCACCAGGACTCGCTGGGAATTACTTGTTGACTCTCATATTCAGAACATGACATAGCAAAGGTCATGGATAAACACGTGCAAGCTGCTTTTGCCCGCCCATCTTCCTCTTGGTGGTCTAGCTACTGTAATGTAGTTCCTCCCTCTTTACAGGTAAATGCCCTGGATGGTTACAACCGAACAGCCCTCCACTATGCAGCTGAGAAAGATGAGGCTTGTGTGGAGGTCCTTTTGGAGTATGGCGCAAACCCCAATGCACTGGATGGCAACCGAGACACCCCACTTCACTGGGCAGCCTTTAAGAACAATGCTGAGTGTGTGCGGGCCCTCCTAGAGAGTGGGGCCTCTGTCAATGCCCTGGATTATAACAATGATACCCCACTCAGCTGGGCCGCCATGAAGGGAAATCTTGAGAGCGTCAGCATCCTTCTTGATTATGGTGCAGAGGTCAGAGTCATCAACCTGAAAGGCCAGACGCCCATCTCCCGCCTGGTGGCTCTGCTAGTCAGGGGACTTGGAACAGAGAAAGAAGACTCTTGCTTTGAGCTCCTGCACAGAGCCGTGGGACACTTTGAGTTAAGGAAGAATGGCACCATGCCACGAGAAGTGGCCAGAGACCAGCAGCTGTGTGAAAAACTGACTGTCCTGTGCTCAGCCCCAGGAACTCTAAAAACACTCTCTCGCTATGCTGTGCGCAGGAGTTTGGGACTCCAGTATCTGCCAGATGCAGTGAAGGGCCTTCCACTGCCAGCTTCTCTGAAGGAATACCTGTTACTTGTGGAATAGGCTGGAGGAGACATTTGCCCCATCACACAGGCAACTCTGGGGGAGGCTTTTCCCTGCAGTGCTTTGTCTTGGAGAACAGGAAAAGCAGTCGTTCCTGTTGTGTGGTTTGTATTTAGAGGCAACGTGTCACAACGGTAACCTCCACACATCTCCCTCCCCAAACCGAGCAACCAAACAAAAAAAGATCCCTCACTTTTGTTTTCTGTTTATTGCTTACGTGGCTTTTTATATTGCACCCTGCAAAAGAAGAGCTCTCCCCATACCCTCCCCTTTAAGGAAAAAGTCAATAGCACAACCAAATTCTCTAGGAGATGAAGAGTATTTAAAGAATGTGTTTAGTTTTCCTTTGGGAACACGATTAAAATTTCAGAAGAATCCCTCTAGAAGCATTGTAACTGGTCAGTGAAGAAGTTTAAGAAAATCCCCGCTAACAGATGTGGCCCAAAGATGAAGAAACGATGACCTCAGATGGTGTGCAGAAACACAGTTGGGCTGGATGATACGGATGATACCCGAGAGTGCCACATCATGGAGTGTGTGGAAGGGACTAGCCCCCTCTCCCAACAGCAAAGGAAACAACAGTCTTTGCTTCTTTTCCATGGGTGTACCTGCGGGTTATAGTAGTGCAGCAGTGTTATTTCAGAAATAACACTGTCTTGCTGCTTTCCACATGGTAGAGGAGATAGCAGGTTCTGAGCAGTCCCAAGAACTCAGTGTCCTAAGGACTTTTCTCCTAATGCAATTCTTTCTCTTTGTGAAAGCCAGTTTGCTCCAGCGGGCTTAGCAGGTGTTTGTACACCTTGGCTGAAGGTGTTTACTCCAGCAGGGGACGAGAAGGGCTGGGCTTTTCCCACCGGTCTTCATTTCCCTATAGATAGCTCACTCTGCTAAGAGTTGGGAGTTATTTTCCTTTCAGCTGTTTTGGAAACTTTGCTTTTTACTGATCTGTACAAGACATCGGGGGAGCCGAGGGTGCGGGGGAAGAGCAGTGTAAGAGCTTCTTTTGAGATGGCCCACCTACTCAAAAAAGAACTGCTTTAGTGAACCATACTTGGTCAACAATACTCTTTCTTTTCATGTTCTTAAACTAGAGCAAGTTGTTATTGATCTTGGATGACCCAGATGCAAATTTGAAAAACTTTTTTTTTCTTTTCACTGATTGGGAACCACAAATAAAGATGACTGGAATCTGCTGACGTAGCTAATTTGAAAAACAATGTCTGCTTTTGCCCTTTTGCTGTTGGTGGGGTTTTTTTGCTCACTTGGAAAAAAAAAAAAAAAGAAAGAAAGAAATAAACACTTCTAAAAGCAAGTTTGGCAATTTCTACTATTCCTACTTTTCTCCACATTATTTAATCACTGGGAGTCCTATTGGCTGGAACTCTGAAGCAGGGCTGTCACTACCCTCCTCATAAGCTGGTTTGAGGATACAGTGGTAATAGCGCTCGATATTTATTGTTAATTTCTCTTCTCCTTAAAGAACTGCACCATGAGCATTTGGCTTCTTTAATTCTGAACTCCCGACAAGACTTCTCAGTTACTGTTTAGAACTGTTTTCAGGGTATAGAGATAATACTTTGGACAGCCAGCAAAAGCCATGTAGTAGAGCTAATCCGTCCTCCACACCTGGTAAAACCTGGAACCTCTTCCTGCTTCATCAAGCAAGTGAAAAACTGGGTTGGGAGGAATATGTAGGCTTGTGCCAAGAGCAACAACAGGACGCCATCCTGTCAATTTGGAGGCTCCTGAAGACCCAACTGCATGACACGGTCACTTGGCTGATGAGGAGGAAGAAGCTGTTGTTATGACACAGAACATAAATTGAGCCAAATAAGAACTGACAACTTCGTAAAGCCGTATTTCAGCCAGCCCACCAAACCAGGCCCCGGTCCAGGTGTCTCTTTCCCAGGCTTTCAAAATTTGCATGTGTCCCCACAGATGGATTCTACCTTTCATCTAGGAAGGAGTACAGGGGAAGGGTTGAGAAGCAGGAACACTGAGTTGTCAGAAGAGGAGTAAAGATTGTGGGATGGCTGGAAAAAAAGCACCCCTGGGTAATAGGTATAGGATCAAAAGGTGAAACACAACATCATGCTTAGGAGAGATTGGTACACCCTATGGCCGCAAAGGATGCAGGAGGGACTGGTGTGAAACAAGGGTAAGGACCAGCATAGGATGTTCTAGGATCTTTTGTACAGAGCCAAGAGATGCTGCGGGAAATAAACCAGGAGGTGGAGAGAAGTATGTGGGGTGATCGCATGGGCTGCATTTTCCCAGGTGTCTGAGCAGAGTCTTTTCCTTAGGGTTGGCAGTATGACATCAACTTGTACAAGTGACAACAGGAGAACCAAAAGGACAGTGACCAGTTGGCATTTATTAGTGTAGCTATTGTCCGTCACTGCAGTAAAAGTAGTAGAGGAACTAAGACTTTGTTATCACAAAGAAATAAATAAAGCTTATTTTTAGGAAAATTCTAACCGACTGGCTGAAATCTAGCAGTAGCACGAGAGGAGCCCAGTCTTGTGTGACAGGTGAAGCTGGGGTAGAAGTCATGATAAATTCTACCTAAAAGGAGTTTCTACTCACTGTCTACCAACCCAGCTACCTGGCCAGAGCTGGTCATGGCTACAGTTGCAGAATAAAAGGAAACCTAAAGAAAAATGCGCTAAAACACTTGGGAATACACGGACTTGGATCTATCAGGGTGAGCTGACCATGATCAGACAATCCATGACCCTCACTCTAAAGAGGGTTAGATAGAAGTTTCTCCAGATCGCTTCCGACTGATGTGCTCCAGGTGGGCGTGCTCTGAGGTGTCCAAGTCAATCTCATACTTGGCTAGGATTTTGAGGATGGGCCTCAGCTTCAGCCACCACTGTTCCTTGGGGATGCGGTGCCTACAGAGAAATGAGATCGATGATGATTTCACCTTTTAGCTCCCCAAATGACTCTATCAAATGCTGATGGGAAGAAGTTGAATAGAAGAGGCTGGACTTTAGGGCAAGGGCTAAGATCTGAAAGAGGTATGACTACCCGGGTTAGTCCTAAGATGAAAGGATGGAAGACCGCAAACAGGTTGGGAAGAGGAGATCCTGAAACTACTAAGGAAATAGATGTACTCACTCAAAATCCGTCTGGTCCTTCAGCTCAGTCACTGGTTGAAAGACCAGAGCCCTCTTACGCATCCCCAGAACACAGCCCGAGTCTGGCGTGTTGGCAAAGATCCTCCCTGCAATAAAGGATGGTCAATAAGCTTCATTAATGGGAAGCCAACCTCTGTGGAGCGGGCTTACCCTCTTACCCCACCTACCATTACGGTAACTCTCTTTGATTTTCCCAGACATCCAGTTCATAGCCTTGGCGCCCATCTTCGTGGCAAAATTCCTGTCAAACGGAGTTGGGCTCCCACCCTGAAAAAAGAGTCTTAAAGTTAGAGAGGGAAAGACTCTAACGAAGTGGCAGAGACACCCAAACATACAGAGAAAAAGGAAAGAAAAGTACGCAGGTTTACAGGAATCCAGGGGAATCCAAAAGTCTAACTCTGAAAGGAAATCCTGGGACAGTGCTGAGAACCAGGGTGAGCTGGCGTGGCCGATTTGGCCATTTATGAAGTGTAAGAGCTCACTAATTAGATAAAGGAGTAAATGATCTCACAACTGCCTCTTCTCGCTCCACAGCTGCCAGATCCCATTGTTTACTTCTAGTCTAACTGGCCACTCAGTCACTTCTCTGCCCCTCTTCAGCTTTTGTCAATTGCCATCGTCAGGGACATAGAAGTGTTCCTTGTGAACCAATATGGATGGCCTTGGTAGCACCTCAGAATAATGTAAAACATCATGTACATTTTCTCTGAGCTAAGCGAAAGTAGGTGGGAAGTGGGGAACAGATTGTCATACTTTATCCACTTGGATATCCACTACCCATTCCTGCAGGGGCTAATAATAGCAAGCTCATTCAGACTTGAGATACTGGGAATTCTTATGTGGGTAGACAAAGGTCAAATGTCCATACGTAAGCAGGATCAGCTGGAGACACTGAGGATGGGGAGGCCCAAGACCGCTAGTATCATCTGTGAGCGAGGCCCACCAGAGGTGGGGACTGAATGTGGATGGTAGAAAGGAATTCATTTCCCCTGGAAGCCCCAGTTCTTGGGGATGGAGCCCAATACCAGCAAGGTGCCCAGACTCATTTCCCAGGTTCCTTACAGAGGGCGGCATGGTGTGGTGGGAAGAGCACTGGCTCTCACCCAGGCTTGATGAGTGGCCCTGAAAAAATTGTTTGTCCTCTCTGGGCCTCGCTTTCCTCATCTGAACTGGTGGTCCTCAACTAGAGATGATTTTGCCTCCCTGGGGACGTTTGGCAATGTCTAAAGACATCTTTTTAGTTGTTACAACTCAGGAGGGAGGTGCTACTGGCCTGTAGTGGGAAGAGTCCAGGGATATTGCTAAAGCACCCCACCACGCACACAACGGCTCCCCACAACAAAGACTTACCCAGCCCTGAACAGCAATGGTGCCTAGGCTGAGAAACCCGCCTTCATGAAGAGGATGGACTCATAATCTCTAAGGCCATTTCCAGAGTAAAGATGTTTAGATTCTATGCCTGTACAAGACTGCAGGTTCATGCTCTGTGGTGGCACTGATGGCCCCTAGCAGATTGGAGGCCAGCAGGAGGCCCAGTGGCTACTGGGGGTAAGGCCATCTGGTGAAGGGTGTGACAGGGCGTCTTCCCTACCTGCTGCATGTGGCCAAGCACATTCTTCCTGCTGTCAAAGATGCCCTTTCCCTCCTCAGAGTACAGGTTGAAAATGAAGTCAGTGGTATAGTTCTCGTTGCACTTCTCATTCCTGCCAAGTAGAAAAAAAAAGCCTGTGACTTTGGTTATCTCCCTTCCCTCCAGACCCTTTTCTGCTTTTGTAAGCTTTTTTCTTCCCTTTTCTATCTCCTCCCATGGCACAGGTTTTCTCCATTTGTATCCAAATTCCTTAGGGTGTCCCAAACAGATTCAATCTGTGGGCTAGAGCCGGAGCCTAACTAACTCTTCTCTTCACTCAGAAACAAGCCGTGGTTGAGATACCTTAACACCAAGCCCCTCTTCACAGTGGTTTTCATCTTTTGCACCAGATGTTCAACATTTGCCTGAAAACAAGAGAGTAAATCCTAAGCTTGGCTGGGAGCGGAGACAGCTGGGCAGGTGCACAGCTCTCTTGTTCCCCACCAGACCTCCCAGAAGGGGAGAGGGACATGGAAGACAGTTGTTTACGATCCTGTGTCTAATTCCTATAAGAAGTTCAGTGTAGACTGAAATTTAAACAAAGATAGCAAAGGAGACATGCAGAACTGGAAGAGGGCACATCAGAGACAGCTGTGGCAACTGCCAGTTCGCCCTTCCCCTGCTCCCAATGTCCCTTTCCAGGGGTTTCTGGTTCCTGTCCCTCAGAGGGCTGACTCTTGCTCTCAGCATTGGTCCTTAAATGGTTTGCTTGTGTGTGTGGCAGTGATTCACCTGGGAGGAACCAGTTCCTTCATCGGGGCTTTGAGCTGGGGGTAAAGGAGGAAGACTCTCACCTCCATTCCTGGCAGGGGTCGGCTGGGTTCTTGGATTAGGGAGTTCCCTCAGCCTGCTGCCCCTCCACTTTGTGGCCTTTCTTTCCTCTAGTGGACTGAGATCTTGGAAAATTAGGATCATACAGTTCCTCTGTGAACAGGAGTCCAAGTTCCCCACCCCTCCAGCCCTGGAAGTGACAGGGAATGGAAGAGTCTGGAAGCAAGGGAAGTCCAAAGGGGTGGCAGGATGCAGTAGAAAGGCTGACTTTCTCTGTTGGTTAAATCCTCTACTCACTCGTTTAAGTTTAGAAAAGGCTGTTAACCTGTCTAAATCTTTCTCATCTGTATCATGGAGATAATGTCTCCTTGCATGTCTGTTTTGAAGATAAGACGCAAAAACACATGGGAAGGGCTTAGCAACACGCCATCCTTCAAAACCGACACGCCCAACAACAGGAGCCGAGGGCACATGTGAGCTTACACCAGACAATGCCTGTGTGCTGCCCTCTCCCGCCTCCTGGCGGGGTCCCACGCACCAGGCAGCTGTCCTCGTCTTGAGCTCACACAGTTCAGGTTGCTGCAGACACAGTGAGGACAGACGGGGGCAAGGGAGGGCTACGGTACAGGCTCAGGGTGGCCGTCTACCTGCAGGTCCCGAATGGTGAAGGGCTCCTCAAAAATATAGGCAGCATCAGCCCCAGCTGCCAGGCCGGCCATGG